CAAGGGAGTCAAGCTAACTGAAACCTTAACTCCAAACCAAAGCTTAGCTCAAGCTCATCTGAGATTTCCCCTCCTAAAAAGAAGAGCCCCAAACACTTTGCCACTTGCTAATCTTGAACCCTATGATGCTTTACAACATCAATCATCTATTGAAGCCACCTCTGTTGATACCTCATCTTTCTCCAAGCACTGCTCAATGGTCTCGGAGTTAAAGGACCAGGCCTTCCAAATCATTTGAAAAAACTTAATAAAATATTTGTAAGTTAATAACAAAATATTAATATAATAATATAAAATTAATAATACAATATTAAAAAATTAATAATAATATAACCAAAAAAATAAAATATAAATAAAGTAATAAAATAATACAAAACAGAAAATTTTCAAATGATTCTGATTAGAATCAACCGGTTTAGTCTCAAGGTAGAAGACAATGAACAGTGTCTTCTTTTGAAGGCTAATTTTGACATTTTCAACAGATAACTGACGGTTAGGTAACAACAGGGACCAACTTGACACTTTTTGAAAGTTTAGGTAATGTAGTGACATGTTTGAAAGTTCGGGTACTAACTTGACACTACCCCCAAAGTTCAGGGTACTAAAGTGGAGTTTTCCCTATTTGATAATATCATTAAATATCAATAGATTGACAAAAATTACTGAAAATGTAAAAAATAAATTTGTATTTATTGAAATAAAATTTTCAATAAAAAGATTATTGATTTCAAAAATTTCTGAAATTAAATTACCAAAATCAGTAATTTTCGGCATGTAATTTTTAGTAATTAAATTATCCAATTTACCAAAAAATATGGAAAATTATAGTTTAGGTTTTGATATTTACTGAATAATATTCAATAATTATTGAAAATATCAAAAATAGTTTACAAATTAATTTAACTAATTATTTTTTTGGTTTTTAGTTGGTTTATTGGGCATGTAATAATGTTAGTAGGTTTTTATATATTTATTAATGAATTAAATAATTACTATGGTAGTTTATTATAATTTATAAAGAGTAATATAATAATGGTTTTTCTAATATTATTTTTTGAAAATATTAATTCTGATATTTAATATTAATTAAACAATTACTATGAATAATTTACTGTAATTTTTTGAGAGTAATATAATAATGGTTTTGATATTAATGTTTTCTGAAATTTTTATTTTTGATAATAATTTTATTGAAATTATGGTAAATGGTTCCTATAATAAATTTTGTAACTGTTAATAGTATTTGAAGAATTGTTAATTGTTAACAGTAATTTGGGTGAAAAATTATTTCAGAAAAATAGTAATTAGTAATTAGTATTAAATATTGTTAATAGTTTCAAAATTATTAATAATTACTAATACTGTTAATAGTTTCAGAACTATTAATGGGTCAAAAAAAATTGTTTGATTTGGGCCTGGGTTGAATGGGCCTAGAAGATGGCCCAGACTGTTGGGTAGACCACCAAATATGGAGGGTGTTTGGTACTTGTGTGACTACAAAACCGAGAAACACACTTAATGAGGGCGTTTATGACACATAGGTGCCATTAAGCACCACATCACTAAAATGCCAATAAATGCTTACCCATTTTGAGAAGCTCCAAAATGAAGCTTCTTGAAATGGGAGAAGAGCACATACACACACATGCAATTAATGAGGCATTTGCTGATGTGCCTATGTGGCACAGTCACTAAACGTTTACTCAATAAAACGTAAACGGAATCAAACATATACATAATTAAGGAAACATGGACTTGGGTTCGGATCCAGATTGGGTGGTTATCCATGACCCGCCAAAAACATTGTTTTCTCCACCTGTTTTTGAGCTACACTGATCGCTCAACTGGGTGATCACAGTAGCAAAACATAGTGGTATCTCTAGCGAAACAGTCCGTTTTTTTCAACAGTATCTTTGCTTTCAAAGAGACCCAAATGCTGGGCTATCCAATATTTTCATCAAAAACATCTCAAATTAAATATGAAGTTTCTTCACTGTTTTGTTAAACTACAGGGTCATTTTTCACAGAGATTTGGCAACCAAAGAGACCAAAAGACTGGTTTGTCCATTATTTGCATAAAAAACCACTAAAAACTTGGTGTGAAGACACACCTAAAAGTGAGTTTATTCTTAATAATTGAAGAGGCCAAAGTGCTGCAACGTGAGTGAACCAATCTGCCCCTGCTTCATAGTAACCTGCTCCACCCTGATTTTTCGTACAATAAGGTGAGAGACGATGAGAAGAAAAAAAAACTAATGAGGGAAGAAGGAAGAAACAGAGCAATATTTTTGTCAATGGAGTTCGTTTCCAGGGATAAAGAGAACTTTATCATCCAAATCCATTTCCAAAATGGTGAATCGGATTGGTTTCTACGGATAAAGAGATCCTGTTTTCTATCTTTTCTTGATTTCTCATGACTTTTATCACGATTAGGAAGAATTCAAATCAGCCCCCCACCAGATTGCCCCCAGAACATTCCACAGCACATCCCTGCCGTGTATTGTGAACATCTCCTGATGAAGACATCATCGTTTCTGGTATCATCTTCGGGAGATGTTCCCAATACACGGCTTGAATGTACTGCGGGACGTTGTGGGGGCTGATTTTCTCTCGATTAGGAGTTGTGAATGGTTAAGTGGGCCAGGCATGCTGACATGTCATTATGAGAGAGGGGGAAGAGAGTGATGAGGTGGCTTCATGAGGAAAGGGCTGGTGGCTTCATTCTGTGTGAACTTTTTTTCCTACTGGGGTTATTTGTCAAGGAAAAGTGAAACAACAAAAACTGATAATTATTATAAAGAAAGAATGCAATGTTATTTAAAATAATTATTCTTTATTTTAGTAATTTGGATTAATTATATTAATAATTTTTAACAAAAATTATAATTTACTTCTCATTACTTAATAAAATAATTATTTTTCCACATTATCTATTAGTGTTCTATTTTATTTATTTTACTTTATTAATGATCAAATGTTTCCATAAATATTTAAAATACTTAAATATTAATAAATATATAAAATTATCTTGTACGTATTCAAAATTAAATTAATCTAAGCTTGAGCTTGAGGTTTAAGACTTCAGGGTTGGGCTTGGGTTGATTCTCAACCTTACCAAACCCCCAAGTTGCACCTCTAAGGTCAATGTAACTTCCATAATTAGATTGAACCAAACTAAGTACTACCCATGCATGCATTATTTTTGGGTTTTTAATTATTTTAGATAAAATTATTAATACTGAAGATATAGGAACTACGAGGGATGGGCTACCCCCATTTTGTAGCCTAATGAATTAAAAGAATAAAAGATATTGAGCCATATTTTATAGTGTATTAATAGTTTTTAAGGTTGCTTGGTCAGCCTGGCCCCACTTGGTCCACACCCCAAGCGTAATAATATTTGTTTGGGCCTAGGGTAGGGGGATAGGCTTGTCCATGTTAATTAAAAACTATGATTTTTTTATGAATTAAATTTTTATTTAATTTTAATTTATTAAAAATTATATAAAAATTATATTTATATATTAATACAAAATTTGTAATATATATATATATATATATTTATATTCATCTATTATACATATATACTCTAAAAAATTTCCAAATTCGGAGTAATCCAAGAAACAAATTTCCAAATTTCCCCATCCCTAATAGCACTCGGAGTCTATTAATTCATAATATTCTAAATAGCTCTTTAATGCTAATTCTAACACTAAAGGATGGGGGGGGGGGGGCTCAATACTATTAAATGTTTTTTTTTTAATTTTTATTTTTCTAAATATGCCATAAAATATACACACATTTTTCTTTGAAGAAGGACGTTTCTGCCATGACAATCTTATGGAGATCTGCCGATCAATCTAAAATACTATTACTAGTACCATTGTTGTTATCAAGATTGAGAATCCCCACATTCCATATTTGCTTAGCAGTGGTGCAATTTTTAAAGAAGCAGGAACAGAAAAACTTTTAACTTTGGAGAGCATTTAAGTTTTCAGACGAATGAGTTCCAATTGACATAATCCCCTCTGGAATCAGCAATGTCACAGTTTAACTTATAAGCCATTGTCAAAGAGAAAACACCACTCAGGTTTAATCTCCAAATCAGCTGGTCCTATACTTGTTGGGATATGCAAATGAAACTAGAATGAATCATTTTTTAATTTCATATGTTACATTCAAACAGGACTCCATTAAATGAGATCAACTTCATCTGACGTGAATTCCCCTCTGTTGATACCCGGCCGGAGATAGTTCAACCATCTAAGTCTACAGCTCTTTTGATATCTATTCAGCCCTGATAATATATAAATAATTCAGAAAAAAGTGGAAGAAATACAGATATATCTTCAAATAAACAATGGGAGACTTTTGGTAACTTCAACATGAAGTATCAGGGAGGCTTTTGTTAGGGTTAAAACACTGCTAATTTATATATAGAATTGTTATAAGAGGAGATTTTCTTTTATAATTTTACTTAAAAATTAATTCAAAAATAATAACAAATTAATAAAATTTATAAATTCAAAAATAGTATTAAAATACAAAAAACAATACCAATTTATAGCCACTCCCACTAAAGCACAAACATAACAAACAAAATAACGCTTGAATTGGACTTAAATAGATGCCACTACTTAATTGGAAAAGTCATAGAGCAAGCATCTTCGTCGATTTTGCTTAATTAAACATGTGCGTTGCACAGATCCCGACTAATATATAATAATAACCCAAAAATAGATTTTTGCTTTTTTAGACTTAGAAAAACACAAGAAAAAACTTATCCAAACAAAACCTAAATCAATCCATAAATTATTTAAACATGGTTCAATTTACAATCCATAAATAAAAGTAAAACATTTCCACATAGTTTAATCTTATATTTATTAAGAAGAATTAAAACTCTAGTAGGCATTAATTGGGTCCTTGAAGTAGTTTCATTCAAATAATGACTAATCACACACGTCTCTCCTCCCAAACCTACTAAGAAGTGATTTTATTCAAATAATATCCACTTCTGAAGCTAATAGGTCCCAAATGTTTTCACTAAAAGACAAATCATCCCACTCATGACCATCAGTCGTGTTTCCTGCTTCCACGTTAGTGTTCCCACCCTCTGTCGTTGCTGGTTGCTCTTCAACCGCAAGTCCACTGATAATGGGGCAGGATGTCTCCATCTCCATCTCATCAGTTTCGTCTAACACACTCTTCCACCATTGCATGAGATCGTCTGCAGGCGGTGGAAGATCGGGAGATGCCTCGTTAGGTATTTCTCTTGATTGATTGTTAGTGCCCACAGTGGTAGAATTATTAGAGATGGTTTTGTTGGCTGATTGGCTCGTAGCGCCCTCACAGCTGGTAGGATCAGCCAATGGTCTGAACCATCGAGAGCTTTTTGAGAAGTTACGGGGCAGAGGCCTGATAGCTTTGATCTTCTCAACTGTGGTGTTCGCTTTCTCTTCCTTTTTGGGGGCAAGATTATTCTTGCCCAACCGCGTGTTGCAATAATTCTTTACATCGTTTGCCGTTCTTCCGGGAAGTCTGCCGGCAATTAACGACCATCTGAGAATTGAAAGAAGAGAAAGAAAATTATTTAGTTTCAATTTGTTTTTAGTCAGCTCGATCTTTCTAGCAAGAGTTACTTAAAAGACAAGTTCTGGGTAGGTTGGTCCTCGCTCCAAGAGGACTACTAGATCTCAGTGCCATTTCAACACTAGCTAGAGTACTCAGAAGCAAACATAATGCATGGCCAATCATCTTTGCATTTCCATTCTTAATTTCTTCTCTCCATATATAAGCCTTGCTGTTGGTTATTGTAGGTCGCCAATCATTTAAGCTTTCTACAGTTGTGGTTAATTATGGTTCTCCTACAGCCCTAAGATTAAAACGGACAGTACTATATCGATTATATTGGTGATGGGAGACTGGTGCAACGCCCAACTTTTTCACCTGAAACGTTTCAAGCAAGGAGACAACATCACTCCAGATTGGGCAACCTATCATGAGTGAACACGCCAGTAAGGGTCTGGGAAACCTATCATTTACATCCAGGCGCGAATACTTTTACTTTCATTCCCTCCAATTTTTACTCAATATAAGTTTTGAATTACCTGTTCCCTAAGAGTTTATAAAGCTGCCTTATAATGAGATCAACTTCATCTATAGTGAACTCCCCTCTCTTGATACCTGGCCGGAGATATATATATATATATATATATATATATATATATATCGATCATCAGATATATACACCATGGACGAAGAACAAATAAACAGTGTAGGTAGGTAATTAAGTACCAGCTCTAAGAGGAACCTTACACCACATCCCTTCTCCATACCTCTCAATGCACTTCCTTAGAAGAATATCTTCTTCTTCGGTCCATGCACCTTTTCTTAAACCCAAACCACCATCCATAACTTCAGAAGATGGCGTTTTGTTCTGCATGCTGCAATGCCACCAGCCCACCAAATCCATTTATTTATATTCTCTTCTCCATTATTTCAGGATTACAAACTCTGCGACGTGCATATATCCCCAACCACATACGTCTATAACACTCATACCCACATGAATTGAGGTTAATTCCGTGTTGGCACCTACCTCCGACTGTATGATAGGGTTAGGATTTCTGAGTGTGGACTGAACAATGAAAACCCCTTTCCTTTATTACCAAAAAAAAATGACAATTACCTAATGTTGGTTTAAATATATGGGGTTTGGGGAGGAATAAACCGGAAACAGTCCTAGAAGAAAAAAAAAACGAGTGATTAAAGATCACATCAATAAGCAGAAAAAACAAAAAAACAAAACAAAAGATCACATCACTAGAGTTCTGATGGTTTTGACAAACTCCAGCACTCTTGATTGTAATTGATGATAAAGCTCGTAAATTTTAACTCGAACTATTGTCCAAGTTCAAAGTTCTGGAAAATTACCCATCGCATCATCATTTGACTACAGGGTACAACATCAAAGGAAGCTTATGAGCTTGGACTTACATTAAAATTAAATCACAGGACTAGTCGGACATTATTTAGAACGTTCGGTACTTTAAATTTAGTTTTTAACTTGTTATTGGATTATTTTAGGGATTATTTAGAATTGTATCTTGTTATTGGATTTGGAATTTATATAAAGTCATTTTTATTTATCTTTTATATTTTTTTTTGTTTTATATTTTTCAATAAAAATTTAAATTTAGTTTTTAACTTTATAAATTATATGAATTTTATATGAAATGACTAATATATTTTACGTTCAGATTGTTCAAGTTCATATAAGAAAACGGCAAACACAGCAGCTCAAAAACTAAACACTAGAACAATCTCCTCTAAATTAATAGAAGTATCCACATAATAGTCCACTAACCTTCTTAGCTTCCTACTTCATAGTAAACCTCTAAACTTGAAGTTCCCATTTAACTCATCGAGAGAAATATTTCTCTCTCAATCATCTTCTTTCATCACTACTTGTCTTCTTTTTCTCTCCTTCTTTTTGTGCCTCCCGCTCGAAATTTCTCAAAGCTTCTCCGGCCTGAAAAGAAGAGACCACACGATATTGCCACCTGGACATATCGTTCTACAAGCTCCTCCATAGATCTTGAACTCTCCGAGCTTCCTCTACTTGATTTAACTTAGCTTGAGTGCTCAGGTTCTCAGGTAAAACCTCACTCCCCGACCCACCTCCAGAGGATTTTCTCGTCTGGGAAGCTTCAACTAGAGACTCTAGCTCTCCATTCTCTAATAGGGGCACTGAACTCTAGTCCCAATCCCCCCCCCTCTCTTTTGAATAACAAACCCTTCTATCAACATCTCTAGTGCAGCAAATCTTCAAACCCGCTTTTTCGCCACACCTTTCTTTGGCTAAAATCAAGCTTCTCACATTTCTGATCAAGCTCAAATGCATTTTTGCACTTCTAGGAATTATGGTAGATTTCAGACATACCCAAATTAACTAATTTGGAATAAGCGCCCTCACCCCGAGCTTGAGTTCTGTGGACCCTCCTATTCATTGGAAGCGTGCACCTGCGAATGAAAAATGAGCATGCAACCTTATTAAGATAATATGAATTTAACGGAAATGTTCTATTAAGGCTGGTCCAACCAGCCACTGAAAGACAAAAATGTGAGAAACGACAAAACTCAAACATTATCTTTCCTCCCTCATTCGTACTCCCCTCCCATTATCTTTCAGCACCAAACTTCATGTAAATGTGCTACAGCCGATTGCTTTTTGGATTATTCAGTCCAAAATTTCAAGCGTTTAAATGCTCTTGGAAAATCTATGTACTTAGCAAGGATTGGGGAATTCTTTAAATCTACCACAAACAATTGATTTTTTTGATTATCCCCAAATGGATATTCTCTCCTAATCCCTCAAGTAGCAATTAAGCTTTCTCCATGCTTTCCTTTTCTGCCCCTCAGATGTCAAAGCTCAGCCTACTTAATGATCTTAATTTTGAAGGTTAGGCTTACTTTACTCTGATAGCAATAGGTAGCAGTTGATTCCTTGTCGTTGGATCAGCCAGAGTGTGTTGGAGTTATGGGACACGACCTTTAGATTTTAGAGGATTGTTATCGACAAAAAGAAGAAGAAGAAGAAGAAGAAGAAGAAGAAGAAGAAGAAGAAGAAGAAGAAGGTGGAGGAGAAAGAGATGAATAATTTACCATCAGTCTCTGGTCGCTAGTTGATGCCTCACACTGAGTGTCGGTTGTTGTGGTGGCCGCCTGGCCGGTGGTCTAATTACATTATGTAGAGAAACGGTGAGAGGGGAGTTCAAATGAGAGAAGGAAGTATTATTAGGTTTTTATTGTTTTTTATCTTTTAGTGAGTGGTTCAATTAGTTGGACCATTGTTAACCGAGCAGCCTCGTTAAACTCCTGTTAACTTCTCATTCACAGGTGCACGCTTCCCATCAACCGAAGGGTCCACAGGATTCGTGCTCCCTTACCCCCACTGTCTCAACAGCCTGACTTGCCAAGTTAGCTCCACTCGGTGTGAACTTGAGCAGAACTCAGCCGATTTCCTAACTCGCCCTCCCTTGCTAGTTGCTACCTCGTCCCACCCTGTCTTCTACCTTCTTGAAGTTCAAAGGTGCTGACACCTAAGGCTGTCAATGAACCAGTTTTGGACTGGACCCGTCTTGTCCAAAATCAATTTGGACGGATTGGACGGACCAAAAAGACATAGTGGATTGGACCAATCCAATCCAAAATATGTATTAGATTGGACTGGATCTGGTCCATCCGTAATAAATTTATACTGGATTTGGTTAGATTAAGCTAATATTCGGTCCATTGATATAAGAAAAGTATATAGGTGTCAATGGACTAGGTTTGGGTTGAAACTAATCTAAATTAAAATGAATTCGAACAAATTGGACGGTCCAAACATTGAAGTGGACTGATCCAAAATGGTCCAAATTATTTATTGGATTGGACCTGGTCCATTTGTAGTGGACTTACATTGAATTGGACTGGATCAGATTGGACCAAATCTAGTCCAATCGACACCCCTACTGACACCAACTGTAGTCGTGTCCGCATGAGAGTCGACACGAGCCTCTGTTGAACTTTCTACAATGCTCTTCTTGAACGGTGAATCTTAGCCAACCTCCTTCTCTCTCCTCTTTTTTGGACCTGCTGAAATGAAGATTTACATCTGTAGGCATTGTTGCGATTGCCGAGACTCCACCCAAGTCTGAAGCTTCACACCCCTCCCAACTAATAGAATCGGACTCCACAGCTAGCATTTTGAAATTCCTCTGCCCCATCTCAAAGAGAGAGGCGAGTCCCTCGATCACCACTCTCATAACGAAGATTTTCCCTTCCACCTCGAAGGTAGCTATTGAGGAGTTGGCCAACCCTAGGTCGGCCAGCTCTAGCCTTCCTACTAAAGAGAGCTCCAGTACTCTTACCAAAGAGAGCCCTAGATCTCCTACCAAAGAAGGCTCTACTCTTCCTGCCAAAGAAGGACCAGCTACTATACAGATGACTCTTACTAAAGAGAGATCAATCAGAGCAAAAAGGATATTCTCCTCTTAGCAAGTTTCCTATTGAAGACCTTTCCTTATTTCTCTGTTTCTATTCTTGTAATTGTTTCTAATTTATTCTTTATTATTTGTGTATAAATTCAGCCATGTACAGTTATTCATCATAGTGAAATTCGACCCATTCGTCTAATCTTTGTCTTTCAAGCTTTAACTTGGTATCAGAGCCATGGCCTACAACACCCCCATTATTTCTAAGATAATGAGCTCGAGCTCAACCTCTTCCAAGAATTCTTCCCTACCAATGAGCATCAGTTCTATTCCTAATATTTCGCATTATCTGACAATCAAACTCAATGGCAAAAATTTTCTTCTCTAGAAAGCTCAATTGCTCCCAGTACTTTGAACCCACAAGTTTATGGGGCTCATTAATGGATCGACCAAGCTTCCCTTAGAAGTGATTCCAGATCCTGTTGATAGTAGTAAGAGAATTCTGTACCTAGAATTTTCCACCTGGGTGTAGTTAGATTAGCTGGTCCTAAGCTAGCTTGTAGCTTCTTTAATTGAAGGAGTCCTAGCACAAGTTGTTGGACTCTCTATAGCCAATGAAGTCTGGAATGCTCTAGAGAAATATTTTTCTTCTCATTCTTGATCTAGGGTACTTCAACTCAGACGTCAACTTCAAAACCTCAAGAAAGGGAACTTGTCCATCAGCGATTATGTTCAAAAAGTCAAAACAATTGTAGATAATCTTTCTACAGTCTCAGAACTAGTAGCAAAAGCAGATATGGTTTTATACATCCTATCCGGCTTCGACAGTAAGTATGAATCCCTTATTACATCTATTACAAATCGAGCTGATGCAGATCAACTCAATATTAGTGATGTTCTTGGGTTACTTCTGAGTCATGGAGCCTGGCTTTTACAGCACAATTTTTCTAGTGAAAATTCTAATGCAAATCTTGCAATGAATAATAATAAAAATTTGACTAACAGTTTTCAGCCCAATCAGAGTTCTTACAATCAAGGCAGGGGTGGCAACAATCGTAGCAGAGGCAGGGGGCGTGGTGGTCATCCCTCAGGCCGTGGACAAGGTCGTAGAAAAGGAAATAGTATTATTTGTCAGCTTTGTAACAAACCAGGCCATGGAGCACTGAAGTGTTACAAAAGATTTGATCTCTCATATCAGGGAGAAAACACTACACATCTGGTAAATCCTATAGCCTTTCACAGCGGCATCTCACACAACGGTTCTATGTCTGGAACTGGATTTGATCCAATCTGGTATCCAGATAGTGGCGCCACTCATCACATGACACTAAATACTGAGAATCTACAAGATTGGTAATGGAACATGTTTGACTATAAATAATACAGGGTTGGCGTCTCTAGTTTGCAAACATAATCAATTTGCCTTGAAGAATATCTTTCATGTCCCTTCTCTTACTAAAAATTT